CATTCCACGGACGGGGGCCGGGCCCCACACGTCCATGTAGAGAGTCTGCAGAGGAGCAGTGGTCGGAGGAAACGAGGAGGAGTGAGGAGCGGCGCGCTGCCGCCCCTCGACGCAGGGAAGGCACGGTAGGGCAAGCGAGCGCGGGAGGGGGGGCAGGGACCTGGGAAGGCCAGAGACAAGGAGACGGGAGTGCATGCTTGGTAGACGCGACAAAGAGGGGTGCCCGAGTCGGTGGTGCCAGAGGAGAGTCTGGTGGGAGAGTACCCGACACGAGCATGACGCAGCGAACTGACCAGACGCATACACCTGACTCGACGCAGCCACCTGACCTGACGCAGCCACCTGTGCAGACGCAGTGGTCAGGGTGTACAGACTGGACCCAGGCTGCCAAGTGAACGTAGCAAGGTGACGGCCAGTCCGGGAGCACGTACAGATCGCCACACGCTGCCCTCCAGGGGTAGAGGTATCAACCCTTACATCCTGAAGGACTGCGTTGCTCACCAAATTCGTCGAGAACGAGGGGAGGTGGAAACCTGTAAGAGAGCCGGAGGGGACTGTCGGACACGAAAGGACAGTGGAGGCCCGTGCGACGACGGGGCCCCCAGAGGGGTCAGCAGTGAGACTGGGATGGGTGCAGCGAGTGGTGTGACTGTGGTGCAATCACGAAAGAAGCAACAAGACGCACCAGAGTCAAGTGTGAAAGTGTGCAAGGCCTCAGCTGAGGCAGCAGACTCACTAGTAGCAAACTCACTAGCACCTGTGGCAGCAGACGCACTAGCACCTAGAGCGGCAACAGACTCACTAGCACCTAGAGCAGCAGTACCTTCACCAGCAGCGCAAGGCACACATGAGTAACAGGCACCCTCAGCACTGATAGCATCAACATACATAGCAGATAGCCTTGTTGATTTGAACAAAGTCAAGAGCAAACACATCCACATTCTTCGCTATTAGTCCCAGCCAGTTGGGGACCTCCTTCTCATCACCGTGCTCAGTCACCCAGGCATCCCCAAGACGAACGAAGCAGCGATACTTAGTGTGCCCAGGCTTCCCGCAGGTCTGACCCTTCTTGAGCCCCGTGCGCCTGACATACGAGCAGCGAACAGAACCCCTAGGGGAACCACGCTAGACAACCCACTCACGAAGCTGCTGAGGGGTGGGTGTGTCTGAGAGGCGTGGTAGCTGCTGTCCACTCCCATAGCCTCCGCCGCCACGAGCGAAGCCCCCATAGCCTCCACCCCTGCCAGCTCCACCACGAGCGCCTCCACCACCCCCGCCGCCTCCACCACCCCCGCCACCTCCACTGCCTCCACCTCCGGTGCCACCTCCACCGCCTCCACCCCCGCCACCACCACCCCCGCTACCACCACCGCTAGCGCCACCCCCACCACCTTTACCCCCCTTGCCTCTGCCGCTGCGGCGCTTCTCACTAGGAGCAGACGCAGCGCCGACTTCCTCAGCACCAAGGAGGTCGACAACAGCAGCAATAGCAACTGAGGGTATGAGAGGGGAGGGAGCACACCCTTAAAAAACGGGGGAGCGGGGAGTGCCACGAGAGGCAGCAACAGCGACAGTACTAGTCTCAGCCTCGAGAAGGTACTTCTCCAGCGAGACAAGCGTGAGCTCAGTGGGATCAAGGGCGAGGAAGTGGTCCCTAACTGTGCGGAGGGAGTCGTGGAGGCGAGTGACAAGGAAGTACAGGGTGATATAAAGCGGGGGGGGGGGGGGGTTCGCAGTGAGGAAGACCAGCTTGAGAGCGGCGCAGTAGCGAGTCTCACTAGAGCGAAGGTGGGTCATGAGATCAGCAACAGTGCGGAAATCTGTGAGCTCAGGAAAGAGGTATGGCAGAATGAGACGGCCTAGGGCAGCCGTAGCTGGGGAGGAGTAACGAACGACAACGGCGTCATAGAGGTCTTTGGCTGTCTTCTGCTGGCCAAAATGTGCTCTCTCAGCTAGTAGGAGGTGGTTGCGGACAGCAAGGCGGGCAGTAGCGTCACGCGTGAGCCACTTTGAATTATCTATGCGATCGGCTGTATCAGCTGGGCCGAGGAGGGATTCGGACATATGTTCGATCAATGAAACTCCATCCCTCTGCAGGTACAGCTGGAGATCGTTGAGCCAAACGTCAAAGCTAATCAAGCGACCCTCCGCATCAAAGCTAAGAACCGAAATGGTGGCCATAGTCGAAGTACCAGCAGTAGTAGCAGCAGTAGTAGAAGCAGCAGCAGCAGCAGCAGCAGTAGTAGCAGCAGCAGCAGGGCAGTGCGGCTCGGTAGGGGCAGGGCAGCACGGCTCGGGCAGGGCGGCGCGGCTTGGGCTGGACCGACAGGGCACAGCGTAGCAGCGCGTGTGGCAGCAGCAACGCGTGTGGCAGCAGAAGCGCGTGAGGCAGCAGCACCTCAGGCGGAGTAGCGTGTTTGACACCAACTGCGCAGCAGCAGCAGCATCTCGTGCGGGTAGGGGTGCTCGCGGGCAAGGGGCGCGAGCGGGCAGGCAGCGCTCGCGGCCAGGCGGCGCTAGCAGGCAGGCAGCGCGCACGCGGGCGGGCAGAAAGCGCGCGTGCAGCAGGCAGCGCGCTATGGCAGGCCGCGCGCGTGGCAGCAGGGCAGCGCGACGCTGTTCTGGCAGGGCAGGGTAGTGCAATGACGCTTCGGGCAGGTTCGAGCGGATCGATTTGGTGGGCCCTAAAAAAAAACTAACTGTTAACCTGCTCTGAAACCATGTCGAGATAACTGTGCAGGAATGATCTTGGACTAAGAACAAGGAGATACAATATGAAACCCTAACTAGGGTTGCACTCTATACTGAGCACCTCATTGTAGCCTAGCATAACCAACAACATATATATATTATCAGAATCCCAACCACTAGACCATTGGGATAAAAGGGTTTGTTAAGTAGCGGGTCAGTGCGCCCATAACCCCCGATGACAACGAGCCTGTAACCCTTCCCTAAGATCAATCGGGGATCACCAGTGGACCTCTGACACCACCCTGCACTGGGATGCTCGAAGTACACACAGTGGGATTCGAAACCGATACCTTCGCTCTGATGCCATGTCAGAATCCCAACGATTAGACCATTGGGATAAAAGGGCTTGTTAAGTAGCGGGTCAGTGCGCCTATAACCCCCCAGGACAACAAGCCAGTAACCCTTTCCTAGGATCAATCGGGGATCACCAGTGGATCTCTGACATATATATGTTTTGACAAGCGAGGATTGCACTAGGTGTCAAAACGAGTACAAAGTATGAGCGAAGGCGTGAGCGAATATTTAAGTGCGAAAACATGCAACGGTTACGCGATTCGTGCGAGCTAGCTAGTGATGGCATCGAGGTTCGGGCTAGTCCCGAAGCGTAGGCCGACTCGGCCAGGCCAGCAGTGCATGGTTTGGTGAAACAGTGTGCGAGAAATTGGCGAAACCCCGTTAGCAGTAACGGGCTAGCAACGGCCAGGCCCCACGTTATCAGGGCAAAACATCCTGATTACCCTGAATTCAGGATGCTGTTTTGAATTTACCCTGTCATTTCAGAATAGTGTAAATTTTAACCCTGAGGTCTCAGGATGTTTTTATATGAAATGCCCTGAACATTGTAGGCAACCCCGTCGTTAAGCACTCATTCAACCACCCAACCATCCAGAAGCGGCTTAGTCAGTAGAAAGGTACTTCCGATAGATGAGATCTGGGATCGAACCCTTCCCCGTGCAATCGAACTTCAACTTCAACTCTGTCAACCAACCAGTTTGAACCCTGAACACCTGTTTTTTTGCCCTGACAGGTCAGGATTGATTTCTGAAAAAGCCCTGAACATACAGGAAGGCTTCGAAAAATTGCCCTGACAAATCAGGGCATTTTTTACGATTCTGGAAAGGTGCCCTGAGGCCTCAGGGTGCCCCAAATCCTAGCACGGGCCCTGGCAACGGCTGCTGCTGTACGCGATGTTGAAGTACGCGATAAGGAATGCTGAAAATTTCCTTACATTGCTATATTCAGTACGAGACATCTCGAGTTTCTCAATGTGCCGAAATCAGCGGGCTGCTCGATTGTGTCACGATTCTCGACCCTGCTTTCCATCCACCTCTCCCATTCCGCTCGTCAATAGCTGATCCCTAGAGGTTTCTCACGTCAAACCCTGTCGAGGAAGGTTGACAAGTCTGCTTTTTCTCTCAAAGTAAGGACTGAAGGTTTTCAAGCAACATTCTGCTTCCCTGTGCCTGGGCTTATCTTTCTGCAATTTCTTCGGCTTGTTTCAAGGATCGCCGTTTGCATTTGTTGAAAGAATCACGTGTCAGGCAAATCTTATTTTGAGCGATCTGGTTTGCTTTTCTTGAGGGGGAGGGTGGAGCGAGAGATAAATATATAACAAAGAGAATATTTGGAAAAGGAGGACGGGCGAAGAAAATAAAGTCTGTCGTTGTTCAAGGCAAACAACCAAGCGACGACCTACTTATCGCATGCGCGATCCACGATTTTCTGAAACCATTTGTCACCTGGACGGCGCGAAACGGGGAGGCAAGGCTGGTGAGGAGGCGGCGGATTGCGGGTAAAAGGAAGAGCACCGACTTTCAAACGTTTGCCTATCCACTGAAGTGTGTTGAAGTTGTGAGCGATCAAGAAAAAGAGAAAAAACAAAAGGAAACAAAGCACCAGCTCAAGCAATTATTATAAAATAATTGAGAAAGGAAGAAAGAGGGACACGTGTCTGTGATTAATACGTGTTCATAAAATCGAGACAGCTTACGTCAGGCTTACCTCAGCACTCGAATCGCCAACCCTGCTTCGCCCTACCGACCCACTTGACGAGGGTTGGTTCTGGTTTCAGTTGGCTCGGCACAGTTACTCCCAACCCACGGCGCGTCGTGAGCGGTGTCAGAATTGACGTGAAATTGACTGTGAAATCGGCTGGGTGCGGGGAGACGTGAAATCGTGTGTTTCTCGCCTGTGGCCCGCGTCATTTGTTGAAGTGCTGCACAATCCCCGGCGCAGACGCTGCACGCACTATGGCGGCCGACAATAACGAGGATAATCTGGCGACGCGTGAGTCTGGCGAGGCCCCGGACGAGTGGACGGAGAGTGACAGGGCGGACACGGGGGTTGTGACACAAACGGGGGACGAGGAGGAAGAGGAGGCGGAGGCGGGGGCGGAGGGGGAGGGGGAGCAGCAGGAATACGGGGAAGGGGGGGCGGAGGCAGAAGGAGAAGAGTACGCAGAGGAAGGGGAAGGCGGAGATGAAGAAGCGGAGGAGGATACTGCGGAGGAGAACGGTTACGGAGAGGAAGGGGGAGCAGCGGAAGGGGGAGAAGCGGAAGGGGGAGAAGCGGAATGGGGAGAGGAAGGGGGGGAGGGGGAGGAGGGGGATGTGGAAGTGTGGGTGGCTGGGCAGGATGAAGCGGAGGGGGATGGCGGAGAGGTGGAGGGGGACGGGGAGTGGGGGGATGCGCGGGAGGGGGGAGAAGAGGAATGGGGGGATGCGCGGGAGGGAGGAGAGGGGGACGAGGGGGATGTGGAGGTATGGGTGGCTGGGCAGGATGATGCGGAGGGGGATGGGGGAGAAGCGGGGCGTGGAGGAGGGGCGGGAGAAGGAGAGATGGAAGGAGGAACGGAAGGAGAAGGAGATTGGGGGGAGGAGGCAGTAGAGGGTGAGGAAGCGGGAGAAGAAGAGGAAGCGGGGGAAGAGGTGGGAGAGGAAGGGGGGGAAGGGGAGGAAGGCGGAGATGGGGATGGGGAGTATTCTGGGTGGGCGAGTGAGGCGCTGTTGTCGTTTCTGGAGGAGCAAGGCGAGAGTGTGACGGTCCCTCTGTACTGGTCTGCCGTGAAGAAGATAGTCGCAGGGTACATTCAAGCCAACGGACTGCAGGTGAGTGTGTGTGCATGCGTGTTTTTACACAATTGCTCGGTTGCTTTCTTTCTTCCTCCGCTGCAAGGCGAGAGTGCGGATGTCCCGCTGTACTGGTCGGCTGTGAAGAGGATAGTGGCAGGGTACATCCAAGCCAACGGGCTGCAGCCTGCAAGTGAGTTGAGTCGACTCAAAAGTCGCCAACGGGCTGCAGCCTGCAGGTGAGTAGGTGAGCGCTCGAGCAGGTGAGTGTTGGGGCCAAAGGGATACAGGCAGGTGAGTGTTGGGGCCAAAGGGATACAGGCAGGTGAGTTGTCAAGTCAACGAGGTGCAGGTGAGTTGTCAAGTCAACAAGGTGCAGGTGAATGTTTGATGCAGCAGTGTGCTAGGGAGTGTGTGTTGGCGCTGTTGCTCCCTTTCCTCGCCTCTATACTGGACTGCGATTGGCTCACATTTCTGATAGCCTCTGAAGCAGACGTTTTTTTTTTGTTTTTTTTTTGTTGTTTTTTTTTTTTTTTTTCCCTCGCGTCTCTCGTCTCCTGCTTCCTATCTGGTGATCGCAGAAGGGAAATTGTATCACATCACATGCGCTAAGAGGCAGTGACCGACCGCTGTTACTGCAATCACGTTTTTTTTTTTTTCCTTTTCCCATTTTGTCCGTTGCCTCTCCTCTGTTCCCGTTCCGGCCTGGTGGTTGTTGCAAAAGGGCAAGTGGATCACATGCGACGATGCGTGCGGTTGAACGCAACGACCGCTGCTACTGCAGTCAGTCACACGTGTATCTCTCCTCCCCGTTTCTTGCCCCCCCGGCCTCTCCTCTCTTACCTTTCCCCCACCTGGTGGTTGTTGCAGAAGGGCAAGTGGATCACATGCGACGATGCGTTACAAGCTCTCTGCGATACCGATAGAAGCACCCAGGCTCAGTTCTACTACACTCTTGCCACGCATTACCCCGTTAAAAGCTCTATCAAGGTGCCTCGGCGGCTGCTGAAGCGGCAAGTAGAGGAGGAGGCTGCTAAGATGGGAGTGGGGGAGAAGGGGAAGAGGAAGGGGAAGGGGGCGAGAGGAGGAGAGGAGGAGGAAGGAGGAGATGAGGAGGAGGAGGAGGAGGGGGGAGATTTGGAGTGGGAAACAGCTGGGAAGAGGGGGCGGGGAAGGGGGAGGGGTAGAGGAAGGGGAAGAGGGAGGGGAAGGGGTAGGGGGAGGGGGAGGGGGAGGGGAAATAGAGGGGAGAGTGTGACGAGAGGTAGTAAGAGATTGAAGAGTTACGGTGAGATGGAAGGTGAGGGAGAAGAGTACGACAACAGCGAAAAGGAGAGGGATGAGCAGGGAGAGGAGGAGCAGGAGCAGGAGGAGGAGGAGAGGAAAGGAGAGGGAAGGAGGGGGGAGGAGGAGGACTCATGGGAGAAAGATTGGAGTTCAAGGGAAGGAGTGACACAGGAACATGACATGGCGGAGGAAAACGAAGAGCAGATGAAGACTGGTAAGGAGCAGCAGCCGCAGCAGCAGCAGGATGAGGAAGAAGCATTTTCTCAAGACTTTGGTTCAAGGGCTAATTCGGAGCCGAGTCCGCGAAAGAGGAAGCGCGGCCGCCCCCCCAAGGCCTCTCGAGACAACCCATCCGCCACCACCGCTACAGCCGCCTCTACAGCCGCTGCTACAGCCACCGAACCCAACCACACCCGCTACTCCGATCCATTCGCTTCTGACCCCTTCTCCTCAGACCCAGACGCTCCTGAAGTCACCGACCTTTTCGCCCCCTCCCCCTCCGCCCGGGCCCATTCGGACCCTTTCGGCCCGTCCTCCTCCGCGTTCCCCCCGGCTCCACCCGCTCCCCCCCCGGGCCCTGAGTGTGGGTATGCGGCGGTGACGCTGGCGAATCTGGGCGGGGTGTTTCTGAAGCGGCGGCAGCTGGAGGGGCTGCTGGCGGATGAAGGGTTTGACCGCAAGGTGGTGGGCACCTTTGTGCGGATCCGTGTGCCGGGCCCAGCGAACCAGACCGAGGCGTGCTACCGTCTCGTGAGGGTGACAGGTAGGTGGTGTTGTGGGGTTAGGGCTGGAGGGGCTGCTGGCGGACGAGGGGTTTGACTGCAAGGTGGTGGGCACCTTTGTCCGGATTTGGGTGCCGTTGCCTGCCAATCAGACCAAGGCCTGCTACCAACTGGTGCGGGTCACAGGTGAGACTGGAGAGGGAGTAAGCGTTTTAGCATGGGATACAGACCAAGTGTAAGTGGGAGGAGCAGGAATCGGAGGAGGAGAAGGGAGCAGCTGGAGGTGCTGCTGGCTAATGAGCAGTTTGAGCGCAACAAGATGATATGGTGGTGGGCATTTTCCGTGTGCCTTGCCCTGCAAATAGACAGAGGGGGAGTGTGTGTTCTAGCATGGGGCACAGACAGAGAGTAAGTCGGGGATTGGGGGTTTAAGGAGAAGAAAGCAGCTGGAGCGGCTGCTGCTGGGCTGGCCCGTGCCTGTTGAAGGGGCGAGACTGAGATGTACCTTGTATGCAAGGGACTCACGAAAACGAGTGTTGCTCAACATCAACCGCTTCCCTCTGCCCTTCTCCCTGCCCTTTGCTTCTCACACCCTTCCATCGTTTTTGAGACGTCTCAATCTGTTGAACCAACAGGTTGTTGCACGAGCCAGACCAGACGGACACTTTTTGAGACGTCTCAAAAATCAACTTTTTACACAGACGGACAGTTGCCCAGTAGGCAATGGGCTTGATCAACAGGGTGCTGCTTAATATGAACCTCAAGACACATCATCCCCCTCCCCCCCCGTACTCACATCCTCACATCCTTGGGTTTTCAGGCTGTATGAGCCAGACTGAGATGTATCCGCACACAAGGTACATCTCAGACAGGCAGGGCAAGGAAGGTACATCCCCGTGGGAAAGGGCCTCACCGGCGGGGTGCTGGTGAGCACTTAGTTGTACACAGAGCGGAAATCTACTGCTGTTTTTTCCTTTGCTTTAAGCCTACTGCACGCACGCAGCTCACTGAGCTATGTCTGGATCCCCATGGGAAAGGGCCTCACCGGGGGGGTGCTGTGCTGCTCATCATGAACCCGCTCTCCCTGGCCCTCCTCTTCCCCCTGCCCCCGCTCCCTGCCTCTCTCCCTGCCCCATGATTCAACCAATCACAAACCAACCATCAGGCTGCACGAGCCAGACGGACATGTGCCCCGTGGGCAAGGGGCTGACCAGGAGAGTGCTCCTTATCATGAACCCCCTTTTTTACCTTCCTTCCCCTGCCTCTCTCCACCCACCAGGTTGCACGAGCCAGGCTGAGATGTATCCGGTGGGAAAGGGCCTGACCAACAGGGTGCTGCTCATCATGAATCTCAAGACAGCCCCCTCTCCCTACCCTTTGCTGCTCATATCTTTCCATCCTAATCAATTCTCTCTCCCCATCCAGGTTGCACGAGTCAGACGGAGATGTACCCCGTGGGAAAGGGCCTGACCAACAGGGTGCTGCTCATAATGAACCTCAAGACACCAGAGGCCACCACCATCGACCTGGTCTCTAACTCCGACTTCACTGAGGTGCGTGGTTTTAGGCAACAGGGGTGTGCATGTGCTCATGCCTTAGTGAGAGTGAGTGAGTGTGTGCGTCACACGGGGCTGGCTGACCAACAGGGTGCTGCTCATCATGAATCTCAAGACGCCAGAGGCCACCACCATTGACCTGGTCTCCAACTCCGACTACACTGAGGTGCGTGGGTGAGAGTGAGTTGCAGTATGAGTGTGTGAACGTGTGAGCAAGAGTGAGTGAGTGTGAAAGTGGGTGAGTGAGTGTGAAAGTGAGGGAGTGAGTGATTGTGAAAGTGAGTGAGTGTGAAAGTGAGGGAGTGAGTGAGTGTGAAAGTGAGGGAGTGAGTGAGTGTGAAAGTGAGTGAGTGAGTGAGTGAGTGTGTGAGTCACAAGGGCCTGACTGACTAGCAGGGTGCTGCTCATCATGAACCTCAAGACGCCCGAAGCCACAACCATCGACCTCGTCTTTAATTCGGACCTTACTTAGGTGAGAGAGTGAATGAGAGGGAGTGAGTGCGTGAGTTACAGTCTGAGTGTGTGAGGGTGTGAGTGTGTGAGCGAGCGCATGCTTGTGTAGGTTACCCCTGTCTATAGAATCCACCACCGTTGACCTGGTTCTAACTCAATCTTCACAGAGGTGAGTGATTGTAGACGCTGGGAGTGCGCATGTGTGTGAATGGGTGGGTGGGTGGGTGTGAGGTCGAGGTCTCACTTTTGTTAAGGAGGTGGACCAACTTGTAGTCTCTGCCTTCTGCTGCTCACTGCTTGACTTTTGAGTCGACTCAAAAGTCAGCACTTTTGTTAAGGAGGTGGACCAACTTGTAGTCTCTGCCTTCTGCTGCTCACTGCTTGCGTTGCGTGCCCTGCCCCTTCCCTTGCCCACTCTCCACCTGCCCACACAACACAGGAGGAGTGTCGGAAGCTGCGGCAGTACATGAAGTGGGGGCTAGACGGCGGACCTGTTGTCTCTGCCTTCCGCTCCTTACTAATTGCGTTGCGTGCCCCCCTTCCACCTCCACCTGCCCACACAACTCAGGAGGAGTGTCGGAAGCTGCGGCAGTACATGAAGTGGGGGGGCTAGAGCCTTGAGGGCCGACCTGCTGTCTGTCTCTGCACACCTGCTGCTCACTTTTGAGGCGCCTCAAAAGTCGTCTGCTGCTCACTGCTTGCGTTGCATGCCCTGCCCCTCCTCCCTTCCCCCCCTCTCCTCCCGCTCAAACAACACAACACAGGAGGAGTGTCAGAAGCTGCGGCAGTACATGAAGTGGGGGTTAGTGGATCGACTCACTGTGGTATGTGTGCTCCCTGCCATGCCTTGAACCAAATATTACCAAATGCGCACATGCTGTGCCGTGCCTATGTCAGTAGCACTGTGCTATGTGGTGTGAGTGTCAGAAGCTGCGGCAGTACATGAATTGGGGGCTAGTGGATCGAGTCACTGTGGTATGTGTGTGCTGCCATGCCATGCTGTGCTGCCATGCTGTGCTGTGCTGCACCGTTCCATGTCATCAACATTGCCACTTCTAAGCCAAGGCAGTACATGAATTGGGGGCTAGTGGATCGACTCACTGTGGTATGTTTCCCCCTGCTGTGCTGCATGCTTCGAAAGTTACCATGCGATGCCATGCCATGCCATACCATGCCATGCCATGCCATGCCATGCCATGCCATGCCATACCATGCCATGCCATGCCATGCCATGCCATGCCATGCCATGCCATGCCATGCCATGCCATGCCATGCCATGCCATGCCATGCCATAGGGATGAGCAAAGGGCGAACACGAACATGTTCGTGTTCGCCCCTTCTCGAACACGCCCTTTTGCCGAACCGAACACTGTTCGGTTCGGCGAACAGTTTAGCCAAAAACAGGTGTTCGCTGTTCGCCTGTGGAGGCATGTTCGGGCGAACCTCGAACACGTTCGTGTTCGACACGGGGCGTTCTGCAGCAGCGCCACGAACACGAACGTGTTCGGGCGAACATCGAACACGTTCGGGCGAACGATTTAAGCTGAAAAACAAAAACTGTTCGGTTCGCCTCGAACACGTTCGAGGCGAACCGAACAGGTGTTCGCCACCTTGCTCAAGCCTACCATGCCATGCCATACCATGCCATGCCATGCCATGCCATGCCAATAATGTGATCCACATGCACAAGGTTCATGGCTGCTCTCCACTTCCTCTCCACTTGCTCTCCACTTCCTCTCCTGTTTCCACCCTTTGAGCTCGAAGTGATTCTACTGAACTTTCCGAAGCGCACTCATGCCCTCGTCCCTCTCCCTTCGTTCCTCGCCCCTCCTCCCGCTCTCATCGCCCCTTTCAAATCCCTTGCACCCTCTGTGTCAGGACGAGGTGGCAGGCAAGGAGAACGAGTAGCTTGAGCTCAGAGCGAATCGGTTGTGCCGCCTTGAAAGCAAACTCATACACCTCATGAGCCTCTCTATCCTTGCCCCTCCTCCCTCTCCGCCCTCCCCTTGCCAGGACGAGGTGGCAGCCAAGGAGATCGAGCTGCACGAGCTCAAAGTGAATCAGTCTGTTCTGATTCGCATCCCCCTCCTCCCTTCTCATGTGCATCTCCCTTCCCCTGTCCCTTCTTTCTCCTCTGTGCCAGGACGAGGTGACAGCCAAGGAGATCGAGCTGCATGAGCTCAAAGCGAATCGGTTGTGCTGCCTTGGAAGAAATCCCATGCGCTCTTCCCTCTCCCCTCGCCCCTCTCGCTTCTCTCCTCTCCATCCTTTCAGGACGAGGTGGCAGCCAAGGAGATGGAGCTGCATGAGCTCAAAGTGAACGATGTGAGTGGCGCGTGAATTCGAGCAATGGGGGGTAGTGCGGTGTGCAGTGCGGTGTGTTGTGGTGCGGTGTGGTATGTTATGGTGTGGTGTTTTATGGGGTGGCTGTATTGAAAGCTGAGATTTCAGCCGTAATATGTTCCATCCACGTTACTTTGGAACATCACTAGTTTCCATTACACTCATTGATGTTCAGAGGCGTCATTGGGTGTTATGAGAAAGCGATGAGCCAAACAATGTAACGGTAACCCTGTAACCTTTCCTCCCCTATTCTCCCATCTCCTCCTCCACCTCCCCTCCCCACGCTTCCCCCTCTTCTGCCCCTGCCAACCCCCTTTTTCCACCTACTTTATCTCTGCGTATTCCCTTTTACTCCTCCCAGTGGTTGGATGCAGAGCGAGTGAAGCTGACCAATCTGAGGGACAGGGCCAGAGAGCCTACTTGGACCTAACCTAACCCTTCCCCACTCCCCTGCTCCTTTGTGCCTTCTCTCTTATTATTGCTCCGCCACATTCCCTCACCGCCACCTCTCCCAGTGGTTGGAGGCAGAGCGAGTGAAGCTGACCAATCTGAGGGACAGGGCCAGCGAGCGAGGATCCAAGAAAGAATATCCCCCAGCAGCGACACTACTCTCCCCCTTCCTTACCTTGCCCCTTACCTCATCGCTTACCTGTGGTCTGTAGCCACGTTTATGTGGTCCCAACCTTGTCCTTTACTGTTCCTGTTTTGCTGCTCTGATTTCTCCTTCACTCGCCTGTCTTCTCTGCATTCCAGTTGTCGTCTCTCCGCTGTAGCCTCTCCCTCTCACCCCCCCTTGCTGTCATTTGCCATGCAAGCTAGCCTCACCAATCTTCTCTATTGCCTTGGCCTCAATGCATCCAAACGTTCCTTAACCATCTGGATATCCTTTTCCCCCCTCATCAAACGTTCCTCCTCTTCCTTTCTGCCTCCAACCTCTTCCCCCATTCTTATCCGCCCTCCTCCTCCTCCCTCCCTCTCCTTCCCCATACTTCTCCTCAACCACCGAATCTGGAACTCTGTTGCTGAATAAATGGATCCCATTCAACCCTTTCCAACCGTTCCGGTGGCCACGCAATGGGAGCGGGTGCAAGCGCTCAAGGAGTTGGACAAGCCGGCATTCAAAGCCAAGAAGATGGCGGAGTACCCAACCATTGAGGCGGACGCTGACCTCATGAACCTCTCTACTGGCGATTCCGACGATGAGGGCGAGAAGAAGAACCAGACAGGTGAGCGCCAAGGGAGGGTAGCAGGGAGGGAGGGAGGGAATGCAAGCGCTCAAGGAGTTGGCCAAGCCGGCATTTAAAGCCAAGAAGATGGCGGAGTATCCGACCATTGAGGCGGACGCTGACCTCATGCTGCTGTCTACCGGTGACTCGGATGATGAAGGGGAGAAGAAGAACCAGACAGGTGAGGAAGAGAGGGAAAGAGGGAGAGGACAGGAGGGAGAGGGGGGGAGTACCCAACCATTGAGGCGAACTTGTCTACTGGTGACTCGGATGATGAGGGCGAGAAGAACAAGCAGACAGGTGAGAGGCACGAGGGGAAGAGGGGAAGGGGGGGTTTGGGAAGAGGGCACGGGGAGGGCGGGAGGGAAAGAAGGTTGAGGGAAGGAGGCAGGGAGGGAGTGTGTGTGCAAGCGCTCAAGGAGTTGGACAAGCCAGCGTTCAAAGCCAAGAAGATGGCGGAGTATCCGACCATTGAGGCGGACGCTGACCTCATGCTGCTGTCTACGGGTGATTCTGATGATGAGGGCGATAAGAAGAACACGACAGGTAAGGGCCAACCAATGGTGAAGGGAGGTAGGAGAGCGGGGAGAGAGAGGGGAGGGAGGGAGGCAGCGAGGCAGGGAGGGAGGGAGGGAGTGTGTGCGTGCGCTCAAGGAGTTGGACAAGCCGGCGTTCAAAGCCAAGAAGATGGCGGAGTACCCAACCATTGAGGCGGACCCTGACTTGCTGTCCCTGTCTACTGGTGATTCGGATGATGAGGGCGGCAAGAGCAACAAGCAAGGTGAGGCCAATGGGAGGGAAGGAGCTGGACAGGCCGGCATTTAAAGCCAAGAAGATGGCGGAGTATCCAACCATTGAGGCGGACCCTGACCTCATGAACCTCTCCACGGGTGATTCCGATGATGAGGGCGAGAAGAACAAGCAGACAGGTGAGGGCAAAGGGAGGGAGGGAGGGAGGGAGGGAGGGAGGGAGGGAGGGAGGGAGGGGAGGGAGGGAGGGAGGGAGGGAGGGAGGGAGGGAGGGAGGGAGGGAGGGAGGGAGGGAGGGAGGGAGGGAGGGAGGGAGGGAGGGAGGGAGGGGGGGGACAGGAGGCGGACTGTGACTTGATACTCAAGTGACTTGTCCTCGGGTGATTTTGATGATGAGGATGAGAAGAGGAACCAGCCAGGTGAGGGGCACGGGGAGGGAAGGAGGAAAGGGAGGGCGGGAGGGAAGAGTGGGGGGGGGGGGAAGAGTGGGGGGGGGGACAGGAGGCGGACTCTGAATTGATACTCAAGTGACTTGTCCTCTGGTGATTTTGATGATGAGGATGAGAAGAGGAACCAGCCAGGTGAATACAATATGAATTCGAGAATGATTGGCAATGCTAGGTTGCTGCTGTATGCTGTCTTCCTCCCTCCCCATTCTTCCATCCCCTTCCCCCGTCCCCCTTCCTAATTCTTCCTTCCTTCCCCTTCCTCATTCCTCCTTCCCCTTCCCCTGCCCCTCTTCCTAATTTTTCCTTGCCCTTCCTCATTCTTCCTTCCCCTTCCCCCTCCCCCTGTCCCCAAACCCCTGGAATCAGGTTTCCACACATTGAAAAGCAATGCACATTCTTTTTTCAGATATTCAATCTCACTCCCTTCTTCCTTCTCCTTTCCCAATTCGCCCTTCCCTCTTCTCCCTTTCCCCTTCCTCCTTCCCCCTCCCCCCTCCCCCATCCCCCAGACCCGTGGAGCCAGCTCGTCCCCCATTCACGACCCAGGGGGAGAAGAGGGGTGGGGGAGTTCGGGGGGAGGGGGAGAGGGGGAGGAGAGATAGGCGGGAGGGGTAGAGGGGATGGTTGGGGGAATAGAGGAGGTGCAGGAGGGGAAAGAGGGGAAGAGAAGAGAGAGGAGGATAGTGCTATTCCTATGTCCCGATCTCTATCTGGTTCTCGTTCCGAGGAGGAGGAGAGGGGGAGAGGAGGGTGGGGGCATGGGGAAAGGGGAGGGTGGAAGGGGACTGAGAGGGAAGGGGACGGGGGAAGGTCGGACAAAGAAGGGGGATGGAGGGGGAGGGGGAGGGGAAGGTTTGGGGAAGGGAGGGGGGAACGGGGACGTGGGAAGTGGGAGGAGGAGGAGAGGAGGGGGGGAAGGAGGGAGGAGACAGGAGGGTGGGGACGAGAGGAGGACAGGGAGGGAGATAAGGAAGGGAGAGGCGGAAGGGGTTGGGAAAGAGAGAAAGAAGAGGGGAGCAGAGGTTGGGGGCGAGATAGGGAGCGAGGTGAGAGGAGGGAGGGAAGGGAAAGAGACGGATGGGGGAGAGATGAGAGGGAGAGAGAGGGCAGGAGTGAGGGCAGGAGCGGCGATAGGGGGTGGAGAAGGGATGGAAGTGGAGGGAGCAGGGAGCGAGGGGAGGAGAGAGATAGCCGGAGGGAGGAGAGGGACGGCTGGAAGGGAGAGGCTGGGATGAGCAGTGGTAACCAGCAGGAGTCCAGCCTCCCCAACTGGCAGCAAAACCCCCAGCAGCAGGGGCTTCAGCAGCAGGGGCTTCAGCAGCAAAACTTCCAGCAGCTGCCGCAGCAGCAGCAGCTTGAGGTGCAGCAGCAGCAGCAGCAGCAGCAGGCAGAGTTGGAATCCGCCTGGCGCGCAGAGCTCTCTCGCCTCGAGCAGCAGCAGCTGTGGCACTACCGCGACCCCCAGGGCGACCTGCAGGGGCCCTTCTCCCTCGCGCGCCTCAGAGGCTGGCTGCCCCTCAACGTGTTTCCCCCTGATCTGCGTGTATGGCGCGTGGGAGAGGGGCCGGAGAGCGGAGTGCTGCTGTCGGAGGTGGCAGAGGGGAAGGTGGACCCGTTTGGGAGGGAGAAGCAGCAGTTCTGGGCGGCTGCTGCTTCTGGTGCTGCTGCTGTTGGTGGTCCTGGCGATGTTGGTAGTGCTGCATTATCTGGTGGTGGTATGGGTGGCGCTTTTGGTGCTGGTGGAATGGGGTTGGCAGCAGCGGGAATCGGACCACCAGCAGGGGCACCAGGGGCAGTAGCAGGCACAGCAGGTGGAGCAGCCTTCAGTGTGCCAAGCGGTGGGGTGGGAGGACCTGTCGCACCCCGATTTCCCCAAATTCCCCAGGTTTCTCACTCCCCACACGTTCCTCATGCCCCCCATGCTCCTCAGCCGTATGGTGGCATGGGGCAGCAAGGCACACCCGTTGGCCCTGGGGTTACTGCTGCTGGTGGGGCAGCAGGGGCGGCAGGAATGGGGGGTGCAGGAGGTGAGGGGTCAGAGTGGCAAACCAGGGGAGGTGGTGGCAGTGGTTGGGGGGGAGGGTGGAGTGAGGGAAACAGGCAGGGCTGGCAAGGAGGAGAGCAGGGTGCTTCTGGGGCAGGTGGTTTTGGAGCGGGTGCTTCTGGGGTAAACACCCCTGGAGTAGGTGGTACTGGGGTGGGTGGTACTGGGATGGGTGGTAGTGGTACTGGAGGATGGGGGGGAGAGAGTGAGGATGGAGGGTGGCTAAGTCGAGGGGGTGGGGAGGGATGGGGTAGAGGGAATGAGGATGGGGGTTGGCAGAGTAGGGGCGGAGGGGAGGGAGGGGGGAGAGGGAGTGATGGCGGGGGGTGGCAGAGTAGGGGCGGAGGAGAGGGACGGGGGAGGAGTGACGATGGGGGTTGGCAAAGCCGAGGGGGAGGGGAGGGACGGGGGAGAGGGAGTGAGGATGGATGGAGGGATGGTGGTGGGAGGAGGGAGATTTCGTTTCGAGGGCCGGGAGGGGGGAGAGAGCGAGGAGGTGATGAGTGGAGTGGTGGTGGTAGTGGAAGGTTTGGGGGTGGTGGAAGTGGAGGAGGAGAGGGTGATCGTTTTGCATGTAGGTTCTTTGCCAGAGGGTTTTGTCGAAACGGGTCCGGTTGTCGCTTCAAGCATTAAGACGAATTGATGTGATGTGTTGAAGTGTTTGACAAGATAAGTACATGCTATTTCTTTGGAATATTGGTGCGTTACTGTTGACTAGTAACCGTGGTGTTTGAGATTGTGGACGGGGGTTACTATTTTAGCTACTGGCTATAAATTGTGTATATGAAAAGGAGTTTTCTTTCTAGTAATGTAGAATTGTTACGAGTGCAATTGAGCGAGCGAGCGAGAATTGCACTATCGAAGCAAACAATACAATGAGTGAAGGCATGAGCGAAGAATACATAGCGAAGCTAGCGTGGTAACGGTAACGCGAGAGAATGTGGTGCGCTACTGGCCTAGCGCCGAGGTTGGGAAATGTCGAGGCAGAGGTCTGGAGCGTGGGTTACCAACCGAACCGTGAGGTTGGGTCGCACCGTGAACAGTGGCGGGAGTCGTAGTCGAGGCGAGTGTCAGAATATATTTCAGTGTAACTGCATGTAGTTCTAGCTGTAGTGTAGTTATATTGATGTCCTGCTTGTGGTGCACCCCCTCTTTGCTTGTCTCTTGTATAACTTGGGCCTTTGGCCCTTTAGTCAAACCCCTCTTCCTTTATACTCTCGATAGTTGCCTAGCACCCAAACCTAAGGCACTACTAAGCTTATTCTAACATGGTATTAAGAGCCGGTCGTTCCTAGACCGATTCCCTCATGGGCCCACCGCGTGTTCCTCCTCTCACGGCGCATGTTCCGCACCCCTGTCACGGCCGTACTATCGACGGTCGCAACGGTCGCGACCGTCGCAACGGTCATGGCGGCGAGTTGGTCGCGGCCCCCCGTCGCAGCCTGTCCGTCCCGCGCTGCCCCAGCCCGTCCCGTCCCGGTCCAGCGGCGCGCAGTGCGCACAGCCGCAAGCACGCAGCCGCGAGCGCGCAGCTGCACGCACGTCACCAGCCACGCGCGCGACTGCTGCGAAATGCACAGCTGCAGCCGCACACGCAGCAGCAGCCGCACGCACGACTGCAGTGTCACGCGCAGCTGCAGAAACACGCGCAACTGCAGCCGCCTGCTGCGCCGCCCCTCCCCATTTACCCCCCTTCTCACTGCTGCTGGTGCACCAAAGGGGGAGAGGGAGGGGAAGATTTTTCGGGGGGACAACGCTCGTGGCGGTCGTCGCGGCCCTTTCCCTCCCCCCGGTCCCGTTTTCTTCCCCCCTGTCGCCTTTCCTGCCCGCGCCTGCTTCTGCAGTGCGGGGAGGTGGTGGGTGGGGGGGAGGTGGCAGGGGAGTGGAGCCCGCGCCCTGCCCATGCCTCTGCCAGCACCAGCGCCTGTGGGGGGTAGGGTGTTGGAGGTGGCGGACAGTGGAGGGTGAGGGGGTGGCAGGAGGGGTTCTGCAGCGTGAGGTTCCAGGGGGCGGTTGACGATGGGGGTGAGGTTGAGGGGGGTGGCTGAAAGGGGGCGTGGAATTAGGGGGTTTATAAAGGGGCTCGCCGCGCTAGGCTCTCCCCCACCTCCTCTCCTCCCTCTCTCCCCCCCCCCCCCCCCCCCCCCTTTTGTAAAAAAGGGGGTTCGTAAGAGGGGCTCGCCGCGTGGCTCCCCCCACCTCCTCTCCTCATCCCTCTCTCACCACCCCCCCCCCTTTGTAAAACGGGGGTTCGTAAGAGGGGCTCGCTGCGTGGCTCCCCCCACCTCCTCTCCTCATTCCTCTCCTCTCCCTTCTCTCTCTCTCTCTCTCGTCTCCTCCTCCTCGCATTCCTCTCTGTTGTCTTCCGCTGCGCAGGGTGTACCCCTTCAGGGGGTGTTATGCACATGGCTATTCCTGCATGCAGTTAGGGGGTGTGTCAGAATATATATTTATGTATAACTGCATGTAGTTCTAGCTGTAGTGTAGTTATATTGATGTCCTGCTTGTGGTGCACCCCCTCTTTGCTTGTCTCTTGTATAACTTGGGCCTTTGGCCCTTTAGTCAAACCCCTCTTCCTTTCTACTCTTGATAGTTGCCTAGCACCCAAACCCTAGGCACTACTAAGCTTATACTAATAGCGAGTGTCGCGAGCGGGTAACGTTTCACTGTTGGGTGCCGATGGCGAGAATGGTCTTGCACGCGGTAAGCAGGGGCGCGAAGTAAGGAAAAGGATTTTTCCTTACACTACCCCCCTCCCCAAGGAGGCCCTCCTTACGAGAGCGCGTGTACATCTCGAAAGTTTCGGTTACGCAGATACTCAGCGAGGACAGGGTGGTTCTCAATTCTATCCAGGGGAACCCAGTTGTCTTCGGTGGGCGTGCGGTCTTTCCAGCGGATCAGAAATTTGATCATGCAAGTTCCCCGTGGGTCACGTACTCTGTGGCTCCGTATTTTTTTCGGGCGCGATGATTGGCTCTGTCGGCGGTCGTGTCATGCTGGCGGGGCGGTTGCGAGGCAGTTGGCTGGTGGATGGGATATATAGGCGAAGCAGGCTGACGTGGAACGATGGGCTGACGTACCAGTCAGCAGGGAGGAGGAGGTGGGCGGTGACGGGGGTGATCATGTGGCAGATGCGAAATGGCCCGCAATATCGGGGGCGGAGTTTTGGAGTGATGGGTAGGCGGAGGTTTTGAGTGTCGAGATACTAGGTCGTCGGGTTGGTAAGTGACGGGGCGGCGATGGCGGTCAGCGTTGCACTTAGCGATGACGTTTGATTTTTTTATTGCTTCTATTGCTCGGGTCCGTGCTGCCTGTAATATTTCTGCGAACTGTTGCGCACGTGGTACTGGGCTATCGAGATTCGGGGTCATGGGTACTGTGGGGTTTTGTCCGTAATTCAGGTAAAACGATGACTGTTGGGTCGTGGCGGATGGCGAGTTGTTGTACGCGAACTCGATGAGTGGCAGTTGCTGTTCCCACGTGGTCGGGTCGTCGCACGTGGCTCAGATGAGCTGTTACATGGTCTGATTTGTCCGTTTTGTTTGTCCGTCGGTTTCGGGGTGGTACGATGAACTGAACTGTAGTCGCGTGCCGAATTGCTGCCACAGGTTCCGCTAGAAGTTGCTGGTAAATTTCGTGCCGCGGTCGCTGATGATCGCCGCTGGTATCCCGTGCAGTCGAACGATGGTGGCAATGAAGAGGCGAGCGGTTTCTTTGGCTGTGATTGATTTCTTGCAGGCTGCGAAGTGTGCCATTTTCGTCAACCGATCGACGACGACCAGGATTGCGTCATTTCTACTTGCTCCAGCCGGTAACCCCGTGACGAAGTCCATCGTCACCTGCTGCCAAGCACGCTCTAGGGGTGGTATCGGCTGCAACTGTCCTGCTGGTCGCTGTCGTGACGACTTCACGAGCTGGCAGGTGGGACACGATGCCACGTGTCGTTGCACGTCGGTCAGCATTTCGGGCCAGTAGTAATACCGCTGCAGCTGCTGCCGTGTTTTTTCTACTCCGAAATGGCCTGAGGTGACTTCGTCATGTGCCTCCTGTAGTAGTAATTCCCGTAGTAAGGTGTAGCCGGGTACCCAGATCCTATCAGTGCCGGCTTTTACGTAATACACCCCTTTTGCTGCTGCGAACTGCTGCGAGTTTCCTCCGGTGAAGAACGGGTCTGTTTGGTAGCCGTGGGTGAATAGTCCTGTTAGCAGTGGGCTGGTCTGGGCAAGTAGTATGGCATGGATTTGGGCAGTGGGGTGGGTCAATGCGTCAGCGATGTTTGATGCCCCCTTTTGTAGGTGACCGTGTATTGGAAATTCGACTCGAGGAAATCGAGCCAGCGAATCTGTCGTGGGTTGAGGTGGGGCTGTGCGCAGAGATACTGTAGTGATTTGTGGTATGTCCGTACTATCACGTCTGCGCCGGTCAAGTAATATCGCCACACTTTGAACGCGTGCACGATCGCGAGCATTTCGCGGTCGTGTATCGAGTAAATGTTTTTCGGGCGGGTGCAGTGTTTGTGACTCGTATGCGATGGGCTGTAGGCAGTTGCCAAAATGTTGTAGCAGTACGGCTCCAATGGCGATGTCTCTTGCGTCCGTAACCACTTCTAATAGGCGGTGTGGGTCGGCGATGCGTAGTACGGGCGGTGAACAGAGAACATTTTTCAGGGCAGAGAAGGCAGCATGCTCTTTCTCCCCCCACGTAAAAGCGATTCCCTTCCGCAGTAAATCCGTCAGTGGGGCAGTTAACCGTGCCATGTCGGGGACGAACCCTAAAACAATCTGCAGCTCCGTGATGTTCGTCGGGGGGTGCCACGCTTTTACCGTGTCCAGATTTTTTGGGTCGATCTCAACTCCAGCCTCAGAAATAACGTGCCCCAAAAATTCTAACCTATCCTGGAAGAACTCGCACTTGGAACCCTTGGTCAGTAGTCTGTGCTCGTTAAAAAAAAAAAAAAAAATTGCTTCCAGATCTGCTAAGTGCTGATGCTTATCACGACTGTAGACTAGGATGTCGTCGAGGCAAACTATATCACACATTTATCTAAAAGCGGCCGAAAAGCCTCGTTCATGGTCATTTGAAATGTCGCCGGTGCGTTGGTCAGCCCGAATGGCATCACTGTGTACTCGAAAGACCCGTACCTAAATGCCGTCTTGGCGCAGTCTGATGGTTCGACCCGAATCTGGTGGTAACTGTCAAACTTATATATAGCTTACATTGTGTAGGCTGTAGTGGGGTAGCCCATAAGGGGTACAACCCAATTAGGGTTAGTACTTGTACCCAACTCTTTGCTAGTTCATTCATTCTTGTTCGTTCTTTCTGACATGGTTTCAGAGCAGGTCCCTTATAGGACCGTTTTTTGAACCCACCACCTACTGCCTTGCTAGCCACCCTCGCGACCAGTAGGCCCCCTAGGCCCAGACGCGTCGCCGCTCCTAGCCCAGACCCGTCGCCGCCCCTCGCGACCCGTCGCCCCATCGCCCCTAGCTGCGGCCCCATCGCCCCTAGCCGCGCCCACGTCGCCCCGTCGCCCCTAGCTGCGGCCCCGTCGCCCCTAGCCGCGGCCACGTTGCCCCGTCACCCCTAGCTGCGGCCCCTTGGCCCCGTCGCCCCTAGCCGCGGCCCCTCGCGACCCGTCGCCCCGTCGCCCCTAGTCGCGGCCCCGTCGCCCCTAGCCTCGGCCCCGTGGCCCCTCGCGACACGTCGCCCCTAGCCTCGGCCCCTCGGCCCTGTCGCCCCTAGCCGCGGCCCCTCGCGACCCGTCGCCCCTAGCTGCGGCCCCGTCGCCCCTAGCCGCGGCCACGTCGCCCCGTCGCCCCTAGACTCGGCCCCTTGGCCCCGTCGCCCCTAGCCACGGCCCCTCGGCCCCGTCACCCCTAGCCGCGGCCCCTCGCGACCCGTCGCCCCATTGCCCCTAGTCGCGGCCCCGTTGCCCCTAGCCTCGGCCCCGCGCCCCCCCCCCTCGCGACACGTCGCCCCGCCGCCCCATGCCTCGGCCCCTCAGCCCCGTCGAACCTAACCGCGGCCCCTCGGCCCCTAGCCTCGGCCCCTCGGCCCCTCGGCCCCCCCTTCGTGTTTGGCCCCTCGGCCCCTAGGTCCCTCGGCCCCTCTGCCCCTCGGCCCCTAGGCTACTTGGCCCCTCGGCCCCCTTCGACCTCGGCCCCTCGGCCCCTTGGCCCCTAGGCCCCAGGCCTCTCGGCCCCTTGGCCCCTCGGCCCCTCGCCCCCCCCCCCCTTTGTGTTTGGCCCCTCGGCCCCTAGACCCCAGGCCCCTCGGCCCCTTCGACCTCGGCCCCTCGGCCCCTCGGCCCCTAGGCCCCAGGCCCCCCTCGGCCCCTAGGCCCCAGCCCCCCCTCGGCTCCTTGGCCCCTTGGCCCCTCGGCCCCTAGACCCCAGGCCCCCCTCGGCCCCTTGGCCCCTCGGCCCCTAGACCTAGGCCCCTCGGCCCCTTCGACCTCGGCCCCTTGGCCCCTCGGCCCCTAGGCCGCTTCGTGTTTGGCCCCTCGGCCTCTAGGCCCCTCGGCCCCTTGGCCTCTCTGCCCCTGCTACTGCTGCTGCTGCTACTGCTGCTCCTGCGTGCTGCGCCACTATGGCTTCGCTTCGAGTTCTCGCGTTCCATCATGAGGGTAGACCGGTTCAGTTTGACACGTGGCTCGACGACCTGCAGCTGTACCTACTGAGCGATTCTAAGGACAGTGTGTCGCTGTTTGACCTCGCATCAAGTGCCGCTACTGCCCCTCCCGCCACAGCTGACAGTGGGGCTCGCTCCCAGTGGCTTACGCGCGACGATGCTGCACACTTAGCCATTCGCAACCACCTGCCGCTAGCCGAATGTGCTCACTTTGGACAGCACAGGACAGCACAGGCCCTGTACGACGCTGTAGTCACTCGCTACTCCTCGCCTTCCACAGCTGAGCTAGGCCGACTGCTACTGCCCTACCTGTTCCCCGAGCTGTCAGCTTTTGCCACAGTAGAGGACCTGGTTTCCCACCTGCGCACTAGTGACGCTCGTTACCGAGCTACCGTCCCTACTGATTTCCTTGAGAGGAACCAGCCCCCGATGTTCATCACCCTCTACTTCATAGTCACTCGCCTCCCTGACTCTCTTCACTCTGTCAGGGACCACTTTCTCTCCCTTGACCCCACCTCCCTCACTGTTGACCTCCTTGAGCAGCATCTCCTCGCAACTGAGACTAGTGCAGTTGCTGCAGGTGCTGCTCGTGGCACTCCGCGCCCGCCCTTC